TTTTTTTTTTTTTTTTTTTTTTTTTTTTGAAGTTTTTTATTGAAGATAATGGTGTCACGGTGTATCAATGTGACAGCACTAATTTGCAAAAGTTGTTGTTGGTTTTAGAAAACACTGTTTTTTTTTGTAGGACCGGATAGCGGATGTCCAAAATTGAGTTTTGAAGAGTATTTGAAGCCAGATCAATTGGTGGTCACCTTTAAATACTACGGTATTAATCTACATGAAGGTGGATACAGCTGTATGATTATGATGCCAATAATTAAAGTTTGTCTCCAAATCGCTTCTTATCCAAACTGTTTGTTCAAACTATATTACAGAAGTTTACTGTTAAGATCAAATGATTTTTTTTTGAAGTTATTTTAAGAACTATTAATCAGTGTTTGTTTTCTTTTTTGATGACTTTAATAGCCTTACAGCCTTTGTCTATCTTTTCTTTTGTTTTTAAAAATTTTATAGCTCTTAGAACATTTGTCTATTTTCTTTTTCTGATTTCGGAAATTATAAATTTGTTAAAAATGATTTAAAAAAATTAATATTTTAAAATTTGACAAACTTTTTTGCTTGATTCTAACTTACTGTTTGATTCGCAAAAAACACTATGAAATACTTCATGTTCAAGTTTTTTTTTTTGTAAGCTTGACAGATTTAATTATAACTCGTACTGTTTACTCTGCTCATTTGTTTCACGTTTTCAACCGTTTGTGAATGTTTTTACTAGAAGATTTTTGAGAGACAAAAAAAAATTCCACTCAGGCTAAGTATCATTCAAAAAGATACTATTAAGCTACTTGAAGATACCGGTCTACAAACTAGCCACCTTAACAGTGTTTTGCTTAACTAACAACAACAACAACAGAAATAGAAGAGGCATTTGAAAACGCTTTAGAAGTATAACAAAAAAAAAGCAAAGTTTTTGACTTGTCAATTTTTGATTGATTAAGCAGAACAAATTTAGTTGTATGCAAATTTGTAATGATTATTTTGACAAACCATTTGATTCACAATAAACTTTTAGAGCGATCTAAAGAAGAAGAAGAAGAAGAAAAAAAAAAGAGTGGCTGAATTAAAATGATAGCTTTTTTTTCCCCTCTGCTATACGTTTATTTATGCTTATTTTAAATTTTCATAAATCTGATATCATGAATAATTTTAGGATGGTTACGTTTCATCAAAATTTCGTGACTACTGCAAAGAGATTGACACTCAACCATTTATCTATAAAAGTAGCGGTGAACTACGAATTATTGCTGGTAACTGTTAATCGTCATCAATACTGAAAATAATCAACCATCACCATTATTTCCTTTTTTTTCTTTTTTTTTTTTTTTTTTCGGTTACACTTCAACTGAGCATCTGAAAATTTGAGAACAAATTGTCACCTAAGACTATAAATTCTGAAGGAAAGAAAAAAGAAAGGGAAGTGAAAAATGACTATTTAATTGTTGACAAAAATATATTGATTAATTACAATGAATTTTGGCTTGAAGACAGCAAATGTTTTTTTTAAGACTAAAGTTAGGTAATTAAAAGTTTAGAGTCTTTTTTTTTTTGCTTTCTTAAAACAGAACAGAATAGAAAAACACTGAATTTTTTATGCTAATATTAATTTGCAATGAAACGATTGTTAATATAACAGAACAGCTTTAAAAGTGAGTTCAGTGTTCAGTTCAAAATAATTTTATTGTGCAATTAAATGTTATAAAAAAGAAAGAAAAAAAAAAGAGATAAATTAGGCAAATATAAAATGCAAAAAAAAATAATAATAATAATAATAAACATATCAATTTTTAGAGATGTTAATGTGGTTGGCATCAAAAGCAAATATAGAAACACCGTTAATGGTACCATTGCCGACAAGACGAGTCGTTATAGGTTTCTTCTTTCCGTAAATTAGTCAAATTTTTTTTTTTCTGTTTTTCTGTCAATCACTTTTCAATTAGTTTACAAATTAAAAAGACAAAATATTAAGAAAAAAAAAAAGCAAAAATTATGTTTTTGTTCTAAGTTTAAGACAACTGCAAAAAACGAGCTTTTTTGACAGACAACTTAATTATAGGTAGAAGAAGAGCACAAGAATATATCAAAGTTTATTATACCGGTAAATTTTGAACAAAAAAAAGTTTTCTTTTTTAAACTGCTAACTTCAATTTATAAATGTACAATTTTTGTTTCTACTCTCTTACACCTTAACAACTATTACTTTGTATTGATAGCATCAGAAAAGTATGATTTTTTTGTAGATAACAACTAATTTGTCTACTTGTCAATCTTTTATTATTTGTTGTTGATGATGACAATCCTATTTACAGATTTTTAGATTGTTTGGTGTAGTTTTAAAAATAAGTAATTTATAAAATTGAAAAGCAAATACTGAAAAATGGTAATTTTTACTTAAACAAGAAAATTAAACAAGCATTATTTTCATATGCAGTAAATACTGTTGTTGTAAAAGTTCGTTGAGCTTGTAGCTTTTCAGTTTATCATTTTTTTTGCACAGCTTTACCGACTAAGGAATCTAAGATTAGACAGTTGTCTACATTTGGGGGCTTGTTTAATAATGTGTGTTTTTCCCAACAATTCTACTGCAGCTGTTCCAACTGCAAATCTATATCCTTTTTTTTTTTTAGGCCAAAATTATCAGGCAGACATTGTCAACGACTTACGAACATTTACAGCTGATACATATATTTGTAATAGATTTTTTTCCCAGGTACAGTAAAGTTTATCAATTTTTTTTTCAAAATAAATACAGCGAAGAAAAAAAACAAATTTTGCACAACTTTTTCAGACATTTTAATCTGTCATTAAATAATACGAAAAAAAAAAATGAAACAAAAAGATTAAGAGTAACTTTTGTTCAATCGCAATAATCTTTAAGTTCAAGTGCTGTCACTTTTTAAACACTAATTGACTTGACTACAATTGATTTCTTCAGAAACCTATTCAAAGTATATACAGTTGCAAAGAAAAAATTACTGTTTTTGCTTCTGCAATATGTTTTATTTAAAAAAAAAACAACTATTGAGATCAATTACCAAGAAAAAAAAATTTTTTACTATATTGAAGAATTACTGTACAGAATTTAACTAAAAGCGGATCCTTCTTCTGCTTCATACAAAAGCGGGATTCTCAGAAACAATTACCATTAATTAGTTGCTGCTCTTTCCCCTCTTCCTTTTCACTTTTCCAGCACAACATTCTTCAAAAAAAAAGTCTTTTTTTTACACTTAATAGGAAGAAGAAGAAGTTGAAGGTTGAAATAATATTTATAATTGCCAATAATAGGCTATGGTTTTTTTTGATCTCTTCTGTTCCGCTTTTCTTTTTATCTAGGCCGAACTAGATAGGACTGCTCAAGGAGCAGAAGACAAAGCTACTAAAGACAAAGAAGAAGCTCTATGGCGTGAAAGTAAGTCAACTATATGACCTCTTCTATGTGTATTTAGAAAGAAAATAAAAGTTTATGATAAACGTAAAAAAATAATTGTGCTGATATGTAGCAGTTTGTTATTGAACATAGCACAAAGTTATTGGTCTAATAGATTGATAATTTAGCAATATTCTACTATGTTCTTGGCGGTATTGGTTTGATAGCTATAATCTGTATTATAATTTGTGGTTCAACACCAAAAAAAGCTAGTCGTACAGAAGTTTTATCCAGAATTTATTCCTCTCAAGTTCCAAGACGAGGTCAATCAACATATGATATACCATACTATCAATCAGGACCCACTTATGACAGATGTAATTACTGAGTATATTTGATTTTTTTTTCTAACCAACATACATTTTCTCCATGTTTTCTGGAAAAGAAACAAAAATCGCAAAAAAAAAATCAAGAAACAAATTGTCAATTGTCATTGAAAATAGATATTCATTTGCAACTGTTTCTTAACATTCAGAATTCTTAATCATTGAATATAACTTGTATATCATATGAATCAATTTGATGAATGTATCATTTTTTTGGTAGGATTTGTTCGAAATAGAATAATAGCATTCTCAGTTAGGTTGAAAAAAAAAAAAAAAGATGAAAGAATCTATCAACTATAGCAGATTTTAATGTTTGTAACGTTAGTGATATTCAATAATGCATAACTTTTCAAAGTTTTTGCAGAAATTTTGTTAACCAAAATTAAGTGAACAACCAAAGTTAGATGATATTAAATTATGCAAAAAAAAATCTTAGAGATCTTAAGAAAACACTTTTTTTTTCTGGTAACACATCTAAGCAACTTTATGGTATAATCAGTGTATGAAACATAAATTTTTGCTATCACTAAATATGTATCAACAACACAACCACAGAAACAGCAAAAATTAACAGCAGTTACTGCCATCAAAATGACATCATTCTATTTTTATCTATATTATCAGGTTGACCAAAAAAAAAAAAAAAAGCAGACAATGCTTAACGGTTTATTTCTGATGTTTTTTATCAACCAAAAAGATCAAATTGAAGTATTAGACTACTGAATTTTTTTCTAGATTAGAAAGTGAAATCTAAACGATACGTATTGCTATAAGATAGCAAGCAGTTTTTTTTTTGAATCTCAAACATATAGCAAACTAAGATTCTTTAGTAATGTTTAAAATCACCACCCATACTGTTTCGAAAAAAAAAAATTTCGTCAATATTTTGCAGTTGGCTATCAGTCTTTGTCAAATTCCCACAAAGAAAAAGTGTTTTTTTTTTAAACAGTTAATAATAAAGAAATATTTTAATTTAAATATTTTTTTTCTTGTAAACTGTAACAATTACAGTATTCTGCAGTTAAGAAACAAAAATTAGTTTATTACAGTTTTATTAGCAAAACTTTAGAGAAATTAATATATATCAAAACTGCTATTACTATTTTTGTAAGAAATAAACATTTACTTTCTTACTGTTGTCACAGAAAATGATTGAAAACAGACAATTAATAATACAAAACAAAAAAAAAATAGTTCAGATAAACTATGATAAAATATTAGCGAAAAAAAAAAATTGGTTAATAATACCACTTCTGCAGTTATTTTCGTTTTTTTTTGGTCAATAATTTATATCAAAGATATGAGGTAAAATATATGAGAAGAAAAATATGATTAAAAATAGTAACAAAAAAAGAGAAAAGTTGTTTTACAAAAAATTTTAGAAGATTTTTTCTTCAATTTTCACATAACAGAATTACGTCAAATTTATTTTTTTGCAGTAAAACTGTTGCAGCACAAAATTTTTCAGCTGACAAAACAAAAACAATTATAATACACTAAAATTTTGGGCTCTCTAAAAATTATTCAGTTCAGTTGTCCCATTTTTTTGCAATTTTGAAAAGGTTCTTTTTTCAATAAAACATAACAACAGTTTCCTAAAAGTGGAAGAAAAAAAAAAACAGAAGAAAAGGTATGGATTACTGTTCAAAAAAAAAAATTTGCTGTATCCACAGCTGTTTTTTTTTTTTTATTTTTGTTGCTAAATCAAAGCAGACAATTCTGTCCGCTTTGCCGACAGTATAAACGGATTTTCATAGCATTCAACTAACACTTTTTTATCCTTGCAAAGATGCAAAAAAATAAAAAATAAAAACGTACTATTAAAAGACTTAGTTTTGTCTGATTTACAAAAAAAAAAAGAAAAAAAAAGAACAGTTATCGACATCTGTTTCGTTTTTTTTATAAATACAATTAGAATTTACTTTTTTTTTATAAGGTACAGGTTTTTTTGCAGCCCCCCCAAAAAAAAAATGAAAGTCAACTTTTATTCCATTTCATTCCTTTTTTTTATCAAATTTTTTAGTGTCGTATAAATTACAGAAGTATATTTTTTTGAATAAAACATTTATAGCTTAATAAATTTTTTATCTTTTTTACACCTCCTAAACCGGTCTTCGGGAA